GAAGGAAGGAAGGAAGGAAGGAAGGAAGGAAGGAAGGAAGGAAGGAATGGAATGGAATGGAATGGAATGGAAGGGTAGGGAGGAAAGGAAGGAGAGGGAGGGAGAGAGGGAGGGAGGGAGGGAGAGAAGGAGAGGGAGGGCGAATAAGGAGGGGGAGGGAGGAAGGAAGGAGTGGAAGAGGAGGGAGGGAAGGAGAGGGAGGGAAAGAGGAAGGAAGGAAGCAAACAAGCAAGCAGTGGAAGGGTAGAGAGGGAAGGAAGGAAGGAGAGGGAGGGAGGGAGAGAAGGAGAGAGAGGGAGAATAAGGAGAGGGGGAGGAAGGAAGGAATGGAAGGGAGGGAGGGAATGAGAGGGAGGGAGGAAGGAAGGAAGGACTCCAAGTGCTGATTAAGGCTCTTTCTCACCTCTGGAGCTCTTGAAAAGTAACCCAAGAATAGCTTATCAACATTTGGTCGAAATAGAGAAGCTTTTATTTAAAAGTGGGAAAATCTGAATGTGAATTGGAGCATAAGACTCTGCGGCAAGAAGTGGTCAAACTCTCCAGAACTATTTCAGAAATGGACAGAACATTTTCATCCCCTCTTCCTCATTCCCAAAGCATCAACTGACAGTCTCCTGCAACAAAACTGGGACAATTTGTATACACAAAGATAACGACAGCCGTGAACTTGTTGGGGGCATCATCTCTACAGAGAAATAAATGGACTTCATGATCACACACCACACACCAAGAGTTTCTTTATACCAGATGTGGAGACAATCTGGCCTAATTTAAATCTGCTTTTAGAACTTTTCCAGGTGTCTCCAGTGTTTCTCAACCATGATGTATTTTTCAATCTTGAAGTCAAGAGGTGAGCTGCAGCCAGTTCGCACCGATTCTAGCGAACTGGTAGTTAAGATTCTGCGTAGTTCGGTGAACCGGCAAATCCCAACATCGGCTGGCCCCACCCCCACTCAAAAATGGCCTGAAAAACAGCCTGAAAAGGGTAAAAAAAACTGGTCGAAAAATGGGTGGGGTGGGGCCAGCCAGTGGTGGGATTAGCCCCAACTGGCTGAATCCTACTTGTGCCTTTGAGGTGAGTGGCTGGGAGGCGGGGCTGGGTGTAATGAGTGACATCACCCACCCAGTCACATGACCACCCAGCCACGCCCACTCAGCCAGTCATTATGGCAGAGAACTGGTTGTTAAATTTTTTTGAAGCCAACCACTGTTTGAAGCGTGTCTCAGCCCTTGCTTATCAATGGAGACCGAGTGAGCAAGTAGCCAGTTTTAAGTTTCTGGGTGTTACCCTAAAAGATGACCTGACCTGGGGTGCTCACATTGCAGCCCTGGCCAAAAGAGCCCAGCAAAGTAGAGATTATACTACCTGAGGCTTCTCAGGAAACAACAACTGAATGAAAAACTGCTGGTGACCTTCTACCGTTGCACCAGAGAGAATATCTTAACTTACTGCACCTGTGTATGGTTTGCCAATTGCACAGGGGCAGATAGGAAAGCACTCCAGAGGGTGAACGTCATTGCCCAGAGGATCATTGGTTGCCCTCTCCCCTCTTTGGAAGAGCTTTATAGTTCCCGCTGCCTTAAGAAAGTTCAAAACATTCTCAAAGATCCATCTCATCCTGGGAACCCTTTTTTTTTTTGAACTATTACCACCTGGCAGACGGTACAGGACAATAAAAACAAGGACAAATAGGCTGCAAAACAGCTTCTATCCCAGGGCAGTCGCTCTGTTGAATTCCACTGTATAGTGCAATATGAATGCAATATCAGGGGTTTTGAATTCAATGTATTGACTGTGAAGGATGTGTGTTTGTGTTTATAGTCATGGTCGTGATGTGCACTGAAGATGGCGTTTGATTTCATTGTACGAGGTGCAATGACAAGAAAGTAAAGTAAAGTAAACTAAACCTTGATTTGGAATTCAAGAGAAGTGAACTTCAATTCTTGAAGTTACCTACGCTGTCTGGGGAATTCTCGGAGTCGAAGTCCACTCATCCTTTCAGTTGCTATGTCTCAGAAAAACAGGGTTAGCCCATTTGTTTTCAACAGCAAGAAGCTGAAAGAAGGGAGCAACAAGCAAAATGATAGTCCCTCGCCCTTCCTAGTTGCTTCCGACTTGACTGCAAATGCAACAATGTATTGCAAATAGGCAGGGCTGGTTAGTCATCCTTTTACAAAAGCTAGGGCTATTTTCTCCAGGAAAAAAACAAAAATCAATGTTCCACCTCTTTAGTACCGCCAGACTAGGCTGCACAAAAGAATCTGTCGTTATCCTCCGTAGCTGAAGAGCTTCTCCCAAGCTGAGAAGAAAAAGGAGCTAGCAAGAGAAGATGAAAAAGAAGAGAAGGTTTGAAAATACCTCCCAATTATCGCTTACCTGTGCCGAGTGCACTTGAACCAGTTGAGGATATCTGTGCATCTTGTATAATAGATCTGATCGAAGGGATGTGCATAGGACTCCTGAACAGTCACGGCGTAGCTAGGAGGGAAGAGACAGCAACCGTTAATCCGGAGCCTCTCTTTATTTCGCCGCTCAGATCCACAGATCCTTTGGCCAAGTTCGATCAACAAATGCTTAAGTCAATAAAAAGAGAATACAGGAAATCGTCGCTTGCTCAATCGTAATGGAGCCCAGAATTTCTGTTGGCAAACGAGACATTTTACTATCTCTCTTGCCACAGTTGCTAAGCGAATCACTACAACTGTTAAGTTAGTCACACGGTGTTCTGACCCAAACCCTTTTCCAATAAAACAACCACGAACCAAAGGGAACAGAAACCTTTTAATGATCCTTACGAATCCCCGGTTAAAAGGCTACTGCAAACTAATTAACTTTGATAAGCATGAGCCTTGCCAAAACTGTGCGAGGCTGCCAAGAATAACAGATAAGGTTACCTAGAAATATTTTACAACGCAAGAGTCTTCAAATACCAACTAAGATACTGGAATGTCCACGAGGCTCGAGTTTCAAAACGTCTTTGCTTCCTGCAAAGAACCTCTGATTCACAGCTGGCTTTTATCTTCTTGAAGGAGGGGCCATTACCTTGCAGCCTTACTCCTAAGTCACCCATGCTGCTGCAACTGCTCTTTCGTGTGAGCAACCCTGCGCTCATGCGCACTTGGCACAGGCTCCTCGGGAACCTCCTCATCGCTGCTGCCAGCTCCCACAATCTCTGAAGGCAGCTGTCCACTCCCTAATGGTCCTGGCCCTTCATCTGAGTCCTTGGTCTCCTCAGCCGTCCGTACCTGATGCCGGCGAACCACAACACACGGTTGTTAAGTGAATCTAGCTTCCCCCATTGACTTTGTGTGTCAGAAGGTCACAAAAGGGGAATCATGTGACCCTGGGAATACTGTGATGGTCATAAATACATGCCAGTTGCAGGGGGGAGGGGAAGGAGAGGGGATGAACAGGTGTGCAAGCGAATGGCAAACGTGCATGTGCAGCTCTATCTGTGGAAGCATTGAGCATGCAAGCACACCACTTGCGCAAATAGAGCACATGAGCACATGCTCACCACTTCCATAGCCCAACACGATTCTGAATGGCTCAAGACTCAGTAGTGGACCACTGGGGTTGGGGATCCTTGGTGTACACTGTTTGGGATTCCACGTCTTTTCCACCTGGGGGGATAGAATCTTTAACTGAGGGCTCCTTGGTATTCTCTGAGCTTGCTTGTTTTCTTGCAGACATTTCGTGACCCAAACTAGGTAATGTCATCAGTGCTAGAAGGAGTGAGATTTGTGGAAAGGAGGAGGAGGAGGAGGAGGAGGAGGAGG